ATTAATATTTTTAAATTTATATTCAAAGTAGAAAAAATTTAACTTATAAAATTTAATAAATAAGTTTTAACCTATACCTTAAGATACAAGTTAAAAAATCCCAACTTAAATTTCAAACTCATGACTCTCAGTGTTACCTTAATTTTTTGAACTAAATTAATTAGTCTCTCTCTTTTTTCTTTTTCTTTTTTTGTCAAAGATCTAAATTAGTGTTCAAGTTATAATATAAAACAATTTCTAATTCAAATCTCATCTGCACTAAATGCGTTTTAGAACAATAAATTAAGTAATTAGCAAATGATTATGAGCCATAAAAAATTCATAACTTGTAAATCAAAGTCTAAACTACCCGTTAAACACGACAATTAATGATAACGTGGGCAAGGCGAAAAGTTGGTGGGATTTGCCTATGTCAATGCGTCCATGTTGATAGGAAAATGCCACATGCAACTAATTCAAATTATATATTTGCTTCACTTTCTTTAAGTAAAAGACATGGATGTTTGATTTTGACCATTGAACCTGCAAGTGCTTGGCTATGAGATGCACACTAGAAGATTTGGCCATGGATTTGAAGAAATTAATATAACGTTGAATTTCAATAAACGCATGGTCCATGTGAACCTAACTCGTATGTCGTTGGGTGGTTGTATTCAAGAAAATGATGTTGGAAAAAAATATGACCACAAGTCCAAGGAAATTACATTGGAAAAAAACATGACCACAAATCCTTACTCATGAATTTAAAGGATTTTTGGAGACTAAACATGCTGTGGATATTTTCTGGATGGGAACAAAGCTTGTTAATTACGTATGACGTAAGGCTTAAGTTATTTTCATAAAACCCGTTACGTTCTAGAAAACTTGAGATGATTGAGTTGGGTTAAATCACCAATTTGATCCCTCAACTTTCAATTATAACGGTGATGGACTAAGCTGGTTATTTAGATTTATCCATTGAGTATATAATTTTTTTTAAAGTAATTTACATAATATGAATATTGAAGTCCTAATTTAAAAATTATCATCTTTTAAAAAATAGTTTCAAAAATCAACTATTAAATTTAATTTTCTTTCAATATAGAATATGTATGTCATTTTTTAAATGATTGAATACATATATATATATATATGTGTGTGTATGTGTTTTTCAATATAGATTGTACTTTTTTGTGCAATTTTAGTACTAAAACAACCTAAATACCCTTATTGAAACTGGCCTTCATGTTTATTCATTGATAATGTTTTAATAATTTCAATATTCAGACTATATAAAAAAGGGCCATTTGTACTGAAAAACATCTTTCCAATATATATGAGAAATTCATTTATTATATAAAATTTATCATATGTTAAATATATATTAACAAATATAAATTTCTTGATCAAATGATTTAAGATATTAGATCAATTATTTCAAAATTAACGTGCATGATATATATCAAAATAACATTAAATTTCACAGTTAGTTTTTTAAAACATTCATTAAAAAATAATACTTTTGAAGTTGGAACTCCAATTTTTTTTATTTTTGTAAGAATTAGAATTGATATGCGTTATTCTCAATATATAATGATATAATATTAATTTAAGGGTATTGCATCCTCCTATTTTGTTATTATAAAATAATTAAATGTCAATAAAAAAGAGTTGTGCAATTCAGGGACTAAAAGAATACATAAAAATGATGAGAAGCAAAAACCATGTAAAATTTTAAAGTTGAGTGCCAAAATTGACATTTAACCTCTAAACTATTAAATTGGAGGTGAGATCCTATTATTAAAAAATGTTCCCTCATCTAATAGTTTAGATTTTATGATACAATACAATTTAACCAGTAAAACAATAAACTAATATCAATAACTCAATAAAAAATATCAACAATCTTCTCTTTTAATTTTTTTTT